TGCAAGATGGAAGATCATCTCTAAAATGGGAATATATGCTTCCCCCAGGGGCTTTTAGTGAGACTGAAATGAAAAAATGTAAAAATACCAAACTAAGTTATCTAACCATCAGATGCACATAATCTGATTTCCCACACATCACACTTACTTTCCTCAAACAATTGATGAATATACACTGTGCTCGATTCGTTTTGTTTTGTTTTGTTTTTTTAATCACTTTACCTTCCTTGATCTTGATTTTTCTAGATCCAACTTTTCACAAAACCTGTTTCAGTGCAAGATGCTTAACTCTAAGGAGTCTCTCCTACTTTGGAAGAGAAGAGGTTCATGGGAAATGATGCCGCTAGCTTATGCCGCCTTTCAAAAACATAGTAAGAGAAATACCAAAAGAGGGCCACAGAGGTAATCCAACATTGCAGGAAATTAAAATGTACTATGAAGAAAGAATTCATGGAAACTCTTGATATTTTTTTGCTAGATGGCATGAATTTGAAGTGGATGCCAGGGGTTTAAATTTCCTCCATCTCACCAGTGGTTAAATAAAAAGAGGGGGGTGTAGCTAGATAAAATAGAACACTCACTGCCCTTTTCTGAGCCGAGCACTTATAATAAATATATAATTATTAAGGTATATTTATGGAGTATCTAACACAAACCCAATGCTGCAAATGACTCAGACAATGTAAAATCAGGTATGTCAGATTTATAAAAGCATCAAGACATTTGCTTCTGCCAGTTGTCAAACAGGTATTTTCTGCCTCCTACATGTAAATATGGCCTAGAGATACCCGCTGAGTCTGGAAGGAGTAGTAGGAAATTCCAGAGTATCAACCACTTAGAAATTCACAGCCAGGACAGGCTCACCAGGTTTAAGAGCAAGCCCATATATCTCTCCAACCCTGCCATTAAAAAAAAATTCTAGTTGACATGTAAGGAATATAGTCAATATTTTAATAACTTTGTATGCTGACAGATGGTTATTAGACTTATCATGGTGATCACTTTGTAAGGTAAATGGCTAATCATTATGTTGTACACTTGAAATTAATATAATATTGTATATCACTGCCATTTTTATACTCAATTTTGTCAAAAGGGAAATGTTAATCTACAAAGCTGACAAATAATTTTTCAAAAAATAGGAAAATTAACAAGCAAAATTTCAGAAAAATCATATAGCACTTGAAAAGATGTCAATTTATATTATAAAAGTGTAGCTAACAAACTTACAATAATGTAACAAAAAGCAGTTATCAGTAGAGGTAGATGAGGTTTGCCAGTGATAGAATGAAAAGCCTTCTTCTTCTGAAGTTTGCTTTATTAATCCTCAGAAGAAACCAAATTAAAAATTAAAACATCTTAAAGGAGCTGGATGACCTCTTATCATCTATAAGACTTGAGGCAAACAAAAGCCTTAGATATTTCTCCTCTTTTTCTATTACCACCTTTCTACAATTTTGTTATCTTTTCTTCCTTTGCTCTTTCTACCCTCCATCTTACTTTTAAAAAAAATCTAAGGTTTGAAGTTATAATTTTGTTATAGCTATGTTTGTCACATACACCCATTGGTAAACAGATAACTTGCAAACATGAGAGATGACAGAAAATCCAATAAAAGTAGTAAGAGTTCAAAAGCAGATGCATTCATAAGAAAGAAAGAAAGAAAGTTACCAGGGCCTGGAGAGAAGGGAATGGGGAGTGACTGTTTAATCAGTACAGAATTGGGGACAATGAACACGTTCTTCAAAAGGACAACACTGTGAATGTATTTAATGTCCCTTAAATTCATATTTTAAAATGATTAAAAAGATAAATTTGCTATACATATTGTGGACGGAAAGGGGGCCACATATTAAACCTGACAAGCTCAGGAGATTGAAAACTAACTACATAAGATGGTCTGAACATAAAAATTTCTAACTAAAAGCAACTCGTGGCAGGTAGTTACATCCTTGGCCTGTAGCTTCCTTAACAAAGGTCAATCTTTACCTTAAGTGAGCCTGTCTGGTGTCTTTTTGCACCTATTGGGTTTTCAGAAAAGTTATGACATATTTTTGTTTTTCAGTGCAAAAACGCGCATGACTTTTCCGACAACACAATAAGATAACATATCCTTGGAATGTCAGAGTAATCCCTTTCCGGACCACCCAGGGGGCACAACCCATCACACCAGAGCAGGAAACTACAAAATCCGTTATCTTGTTCCCTAAAGATTATCTGTATGTGCTGTAAAATGCTATTAACTACCCTGTGCCCACCAATGTAAAAGAAGTGTGTCTCCATTTTACTTTTTATCCAATTGCAGAGATTTCCCCTCTTTGCTTTCTCCCACCCCCTTAATCTACAACCAATGGATTTCATATAACCTTCTTCCTTTGATTTTAATGTATAAAATAGGTTGCAAAACGGCCATTTTCCGGAGCATTTTCTCAATTCGTTGAGACTTTGCTTCCCAGCAATTGTCGTCAGTTTGGCTCAAATAAACTCTTAAGTTTTCTCTTAGGCTGGATGTTTTTTGTCAACAATATTTTATCATAGTTAAAAAAAAAAAAGAGGCGGGAAAAAAAGCAGATGCGACACACCATTTCAGACATGACCGATTTATTCAGAAAATTCAAATTTCAGTTTGGCAAAGTATATCCAGGGGCAGAGAGTTTGGGATAATCATTTCATTGGAGGCCATCACATTTTCTAGAGCTGATTGGCCGTGCGCTAGTTATCTGAAGAAAGCAAAACTTAAAAAAATAATTTAGTGTGTGTGTGTGTGTGTGTGGAGGGGTGACAATCATAAATATTTGCAGAGGAAACAAAACAAGCAACCAGCTCACATAACTGAGGCATGAGAAATGCTAATGCTAGTAGTAACCCTTTATTCAATGTAGTTCAACATAACATTAAGCACCTAATTTCTTCAAGATACTGGACTAGCTGCCGGGGTTGAGGTGGAAACAAAAATCACCAAAACATAATCCCTGTCCTTTAGGAGTTTACAACAGCACATATAAAAGTAAGTGTTACAGGTGAAGAACAACATCAATAAAACTGCTCTAAAAACAGGAAGGAGACTTGACTTCTCAGTAGAAGTCTGAAGTTGGGACCCCCTTAAACTTGGTGGTGTGGGTGAGGCAGGGTGCAGCAAGCCAAGTAAATGAAGCTCCCTTGTCGTGTCTGTCTGCATCTCAGCAACAGGAAATGGTCTAGTTCCTCCACAGCTTTAAATGTATGAGAGGGGGAGGGGTATTCAAAGGTATTTTTATTTTAACCCCTCAGCAATAGCCTATTATACAGAAGAGATGGACTTAAGTGAGGATATTAAAAAACGAAGTTTGAAGAGGGGCATACACTGGAAACACCATTTCACAGTTTTAGTGTAAACTCAACCCTTTGTGTATATACATCTAGTAGCTTAAGTAAAACCATCAAATGGGAAAAAAACCCAACGACATCGCCACAGTTCATCATGGCGGAACATGAGCTCTCTCATCGGACTGTAAAGTAGCTTCGGCCACTGCCAATGGTGGATGTGAGGGTAGATAGAAACTGAAGTCCATATTCTACACAGAAATTAAAGTCCATAAACATCCCCCCTTTAACAATGAAGAAGAGGGCTTAGAAGAGATAACCCGGGGAGAGAGATGGTCTTTGTAGGCTAATTGATCTAATGATGACTTGCTATGCTATATTTCCGATTTAAAAAAATACAGGATCTTTACTGAATAATTTATTATGTGTATATCATACACCTCAAAAAGATTTTAACGGAACATACTACCAATCAAACATCAGTTTCTGCTTTTGCAATTTACACAAATTACCTTAATTATAATACTTTAGGGAACTGTACAAACACAATATATAAAACTTATTTAATATTATTCATCATCTTTAACTTCTGAAAGTTTGGCTTGTATTATCTCAAAGGAAAACTACTTTTAAATCTCACAGAATTAACTCACCACCAAATTTCAAAAATAATTAAGCCAAAGAAAAAGCTTCCCTGTAAGCCTTTACCAATGGAAAATTTCAATGCCAACATCTGCCAGGCTTTGACGACATAAAAATCAACAACTTACATAATCAGCACCTCAAAACCAAAACCTCCTTTTGAAGTACAAAGTTCAGTTGTTTTTGCCCTCTTAGTAACTGGTAATCAGAACCCCAGGAATACATGTAGTGTAGGAACTGTTCAGGTTTGTTATGTAGTACAACATACATGATTTTTGAAACATTAATAAAGTATTGATATGGCACAATGAATAGCTATTTTTTAAAACCAAAGTGATTCAGAGGACTAGGAGAACAGATATAATAGCACAGTGAAATAATTCTAAAGTAAAAAAAACCCACGTAATCTATCCTGGCCTATATTAAATGAAATTAAAAACCAAACGATAAGTATCATTTCAGGCCTATATACATCAAGATGCCAGTTATAAAAATGTACTTTAGCTGTAAATGCTAGATTATGCAAAAATAATTTTATATCAATTTTATTTAACTTTAATGAATTTCCCCAACTCTAAATATTAAAAACATTAAAAGAACTTAAAATTTTAATGGCAAAAATTTCCTACTTTCCCCATCTGTTAAAAAACAAACAAACAAACATTTTGTTTACCCTTAACATACAATGCCCTATTGTTAAGGCACAACTTTTTTAGGATAGAAATGAAACCAGATTAGGTTTATTTTACATAACAGTTACAAGACAGACTTTTGGTAAGCATATACTGAAAATAATTAAATACATCTAAAATTCAACCAAGATTTAAAATGAAAAATCCTTGTTTCTATCCAGCAGCAATCAACACCTAACCAAGATAAGTAGTTGCAGTTACAATAAAATCCAAATAGTTTGTTTATAAACTTGCCAAAGATGATCTCCATAAGGCCATTTTCAAGGTGTTATCAGGGAGAGGAAAGCTTGGATATTTTCTTTTCTGAGGAACAGAGGGTGGCATTCCTGTTTTCTTTTACGCTTGAGCTATTAAGGGTAGTTATCACCTTCAAAACCTGAGTGAAATCCAATTTTTGAATTCAACATCTGAGAGAAGGGCAGAATTCCTGATCGCAGGTGTCCTGGCAGGTGTTTGCTTTGCATTCTCCCTCTGCTACTCTTCCCCTGAGCTATCTTTTCCTTTCCCACCCTTCTCTTAGCCACTGCCCCTCTCCCGCCTCCTCTGATCCAGTTTGCACAATACTCAACCGGAGCACCCAGCAAACAGGGCACCCAGCAAACAGGAAGAGTTTGCACAATTATTACCTAAAACACATAAACTCAAACATTTGGTACTTCATTATATAGCTAAACAAGTCACTTGAATATTGATTTAAAATCAAGAAAAAAAAACCATTAAAATTGGGGAAAAGGGAACAATTGAATACCAAAGACAAATATGACCCATCTTGTAGGCCCTTGTAATCTCACTGAAATAGGCATGTAAGTATGAAAACTGATAGAAAAAGCAAATTCTCTCAAACAGGTTTATATACCCAACTCTCTTGTATTTTCTGCATTTTCATTCTTTGAAGGATGGGCCGGAAGAAATGCTTTGCAAAGACAGAAGCACTGCATTAGATCTGACAGTTTAAAGCTTTGTGGTTTGCAAGTGATGTTACTTTTTGCAGTTTTTGAAGAGTAATGGTCAAGCAGGATTCCTCCAGGACTGATCTCCCTCACTGGGAACTTGACTAGAGCCTCAGTTCTACTGTAAGATACCAGCAGCCAATCTTGAGAGAACTAGGTCTGTGCAAGAATTCCTGGACAAGTGTTGGGGAAGAGGGAATATACTGGTTAAGAAGGAGGAGCAGAAATAATAGAACATTATGGGTTAGAGATAGGGAAGAGGCAGAAATGAAGAGGCAGAGGGAGGGGACAGCTGATGGCTACTAAGGTTATTGATGTCTCTGCTTTTACTAAATATGATGTGTAAAACTCAATTTTAAGGGGGAAATTATCCTCTAAATAAGGGCAAAGATGAGGGAAAGGAAAAATCAGGAGCTGGGGAGTAAGGGTCACTAAAAGTAAACTCTAGTTATTTTGCTCCAGTTTAGAAATAATTTTATTTATGTAATTCTGGGAGATATATGCCTCCCTTATTCATCAAGGTTTTTTACTGGTATGTTCTGGCATAATAATGTCTTACATAAATATAAATAGTGTTCTTTGTAGTTATATTCTGTAATGTATATTGACTTTTAGAAACAAAAAAAATTTTAATGGGACTTTCTATGAAAGCACTTAAAAATCATTAGTAACTGGACTATAACCAACGAATTGTAAAAATAATGCATTTAACTGACAGCCATTATCTTAATTTTTGCACATAAGTCCTTCAGTTATTACCTATATGCAGATTAATAAAATTAAAAATAAAACCAAAAGCAATCATGCTTGCTAATATGAACTAGCTTCATTTCCATTATATAATAAGTTTCCAATGTAATATTGGGGGAAAAATTCCATTTAAATTCCATTTCCCACTATGCCACTCCGATTTCCCTAACTTTGATATGCTTACAATGACACAAATGCTTTTATACTATGACTCAGGAAACAGCACATGCCTCTGCCAGCTCTCCTGACACAAAACGACCCCTTCATGTCATTGCAAAATAAGAAGATGAGGTCTTCAATATTCTGTTCAGGACTTAGAATTCCTAAGTCCTATTTAAATGTCAAGTGTTCCTACTACCAAAACTTTGAGCAAGTTTTTACTGAACAAAAGCCTACCTTGAAACTAAAAAAGAAAAAGTCCTACCTATTGAGGCCCATTACTCTATAAGATTCGTGACCAGTTGCTAGAGGTTGGATGGAAACAAATGCATGATACTAGGTTTAATTCCCTAATGAGGAGTTGAAGGGCTTTGGGCAGTGTAATATGCAAACCTAAAGTTGTATGCACTTTCTACCAGCTGAGGATGTCTACTCTTTGGTCAATTATACCTCCAACATAGGAAAACAAATGGAAAGTTGCTTTAGGGTTAAAAATTTAAAAAAAAGGAAACAAACCATGAAAAATCCCTCTCCTCATCAGTGTATTATGGAATACAAGGACATCAAAGTCCCATGAAATAAGGGTTTGTTTGTATACATGAAGCTTTCAGATACCACAATGATAGCTCACAAAGCAAGGTTCTAATTACAGCTACACAGTGAGTATGCCACAACCTTTCTTCCAGCCAGATTCTTCATACTGAAGAGAAAAAATTTTTTAAATGCATCAAAAAGTTAACTTTAACCTTCATTTTAATATAAAGGGAAACTATAAATTATCTCAAAAGTTACTACTTTTGAGAGTTTGGTTAGGTTAGATCCATTTATTAATGGTAAAAGCAACCATGGCAAAAGCAACCGTAACTCATTCTCGATAATGAGAGAGAGAATCCCTATACACAAACCTGGCAACATTTTTTAAAAGTACTTAAAGAAAGCTTTTGAAAATAATGAAAGCTAACTCAATTCATACAGTGTCAAATAACTTTCAATTAATAATAGAATTGTTTATATTTCTGTAGTGCCTTATAGCATATTTTGTCCCTAATGAGAAAATGTACCAAAAAGCTAGTGCTAACCCTGAAACCATAATTCAAATCTTACATGTTAAAGACTAAATGCTGGTCAAGAGGAAAATGATGGACTCATGCACTGTCCACAGGGCAAATGAAAATCAACAGCAAGATGGCAGAAAGGTTGAAACCATGAGTACAAACACACTTTTCTTGTTAAAACAAAACACACACACACGCACACACACAGAGAAAACACAACGCAACCATCCTATATATATCTATATTCTCTACTAGCTGGTGAACCTGTTATTAAAGTTTCAAAGAAATAAAAACAATTTAAGCTCTTTCTATTTTAATCCATAAGAAATCCTCACTAACAGATAAATAGAGCATTTGTTGCATATTAACGAACGTGTGGCTTCTTGTGCTTTCCATCTGAATTAGGGGTAAAAACCCCCAATCACTTTATTTTAAATGAGATATAAGCATAAAGTAACATTAAACATCTACAAGAAATTGACCCTTTCTTCAGCCCAATTCTATATGAAAGAACCAACAGTGAAGATTCATGATGTGTGGAAATGGTGACTCACAGCAATGTAGACTCAGTTATAGATTTTAATTCACAAACATATATATATATATATATATATATATATATATATATATATATACATACATACATATGCGCCTTGTGTATGACAACTGTATGAAAATAGTCTCAAAAATAAAGACAATACTTGAGACACATAGCAACCCATTTCCCTGATCCTGCATCCTGTTACAGGGAAAATAAGTCTCTGATGCTTCATAAATACTTTAAAAAGTTCGGGATGGCCTTAACCATGCAGTCTCCACCCATCCTTTGAAGCCTCCAGCATTTCAGGCTGACCATCCATCTCTGAAGAGCTGTGATCTGTAATCACTTGCTTATTTAGGTCCTGTCTTCTCCAGATCTGGGAGTTTTCGGACCAGAGCTTGGTGGTTCACTCTGATGCTGGCCAGGAGCCCCCCCTCAATGCCGTCGGCACCGGTGTAACTGATTTCTTTACCACTCAGGGTGGTCATATGCCCCCCAAGGGCTTTTAAGATGGCATTGCCAGCACATATATCCCACTTTTTGATGTATGTCACATGAATATATAGATCAGCTTTTTCTTGACTCTTATCAGGTACATCCAAGAGCGCTAAAACTTTATAACCTAAAAGATAAACACAGAATTTAGGTTACTGTTGAAAAGATTTAGAGAAAGTGACTTAATTTTTTCAGGAAATTGTTAAAAAGAAAAGCACAGGGTATTCAGGAGCTCTCTGGACTATCTTTGCAACTGCTAAGTCTAACATTATAAAATAGTTTTTAGAAAAGGAACAGCACAGACATTAAACCGAAATGAGCAAAAAATATACTGCAAAGTAACTTATTAAGGTATTCTCAAGTATAACCAAATATATGTCTATAATTTTTAAAATTTACATCTTTGTGGTTGTTTTCATGAAATGAGACATCCAGTATGGATCATTTCCTATGGATATTATGCTGAAACTAAACACCCACTTGAATATCTAAGAAAGATGAATTTGAAAGAAGAGAATACAAAATAACACTACTATCTTACTTTTTCTTTGTAACAAGGCAAAGTTTCAAAATAAAATAATAAAACAACCACAGAAGAAAATGGGTCTAGAATCAGGTTTATTCCATTCCTCCTGAGTATTTTGGCCATTACCTTTCATAATTGACCTAACAGAGACTATAAGAAAATAGCAAAGTGATACTAAGGTAGGCAGATATATGCAATCAGTAAACTACATTAGGCTTAGAAATTAGTAAGCATTACTTTTCCCTTTATTATTGTGCTGAAAAGGTTTTTAAACACAAACATTTCTGACCATTATTTGCTACTTATTTGAAATAAAACACTTCTAAAGATATTAAACAGCATTCAAAACAAGGGTGGGCAATGGCCCATGCGTCAAATCCAGGCCACGGCCTATTTTTATATAACCTTCAAGGTATGAACACTTTTTACATTTTTAAAGGATGGTTTAGAAAACAGAACAAAACAAGAATAATATGCAATAGAGAACATATGTGGCTCACAAGGCCTAAAAAATACTTCTGGCCTTTCAGAAAGTCAGCTGACCCCTGCTCTACAACATAGGTAATACAATAGTATAGAATATACATTAAGCTGGCTAGGTGGGCACTAGACTCTCTGGCTCAACCCAGACATGCATGCTGAGGAGTTCAGGGGCGTTAAAAGTGACCCAGGGATTAGCCGTTGTAATAACACTTACGATGATTCCTGGCATCCTTCTGCCATATGAAGCATCGTAATATACTTGGATCTTCTCTCCCTGATATTCCTAGAGTTAAACTAACAGGACCATAATTTTGAAATCAGACCATATATAGAACCACCAATGAAGGTACATCACTGGCAGGAAGACGCTTTTGTAGTATTCAAGGAATAGAAACCACTATTGTGATGTTGTTCATTTCTACTGGGAGGCTGTTTCTAACAAGGCATGCGTGACTGAATTCCCACCCTAGAAATAGCCAAGAAGGAGACCGTCCTGTCTTGAAAGCACACTGTCCACTCTCATTTTCTTTCAAGCATGGGGCAACCAAGTCTTTCTCCTGACATAAGCCTTGACCATGCTGGGAATACTTTACAGGCATTGACGGGGAGCAGGAACATACCAGCACCACCAGCAGGGATAATTGTCGTCTGGTTTCCAAAAGTCTGAAGAGCAACCTGTTTGACCATCCCTGAATGGGAGCGAGACACAACGATCCTTGGGGTCTTCTCATCGTAGGAAGTGCGGGCTTTCACATTTGACCCACCATCTACCATTGCCCAAGCTGAAAAGCAAATATAATACCCATTTAGAGCACTGAAGTTTTTAAAACTACAACTCAAAGTACAAAGAGTGACTGAAAAAAATCCTTTTCCACAGAATTACTTGTACATTTTTTCCAAAACAGAAAGCTTTATTTTCTTCCTGAATACAGAGTAGTATGGGGTTTTTTTACATTAAAATAAGCATGTATTAAGACAAAGCTAAAAAAGACCATATAATCCTGCCCAGCCAGAGATAATAACCATTAAATATTTGCCTTAACAGCTCTGAGGCTCAAGCTCCCCGTGGGATGGTGGGTGAGTCTTCACGGGGATCCCACTGTAACTGAACTTCTCCCTGTACCTAATCCAGCTTCCTTCCCTCCCTTCCACAGAATTCCTCCCAAGAGCACCCCCAGTAAATATCTTGCATGCTAATCTCCATCCCAAAGTCTGATTCCTGGGGAACCCGACCTGTGACAACCTATGCCATAAGCACAGCTAAGTGCCCTGGATAATTCAAATTTTAAAATTGTTAAACAGGTGAGTTAGATTTACATATCGGCTTTATCAGACAATATAAAAAGAAAAAGGCTCTAGACTTCAAACTAGAGAGGAGTTTTTAAGAAGGTGAGGAGACTCTAGAGATGGCTTGAAATGTTTTCCTTGGTTTAGAAGTTTTCTTCACTGTTACCAAACTAAACAAGAAAACAAACTTACTCAGAATTCTCCCAATTAGAGTGCTGTTCTAGCATTCACTCACAATAGGGTATATATAACCCACTAAGGCTAGCAAGGAAAGCAGGGGCATTACTACTTATTCCTGGCTACAGAAAAAAATAAAAATAATGAAAGAGTCTGGGTTTCTGAGTTCCCCAAGGATGATGGCAGTCTCTCAGACTCTTCTCACATTTCTTCCTAAAAACCCCATATAGCAACAGGGAGAGTAAATACACAACCCTTAATCAATACCTGTAAGAAGACAGAGGATAACTCAAAACTTAATTTATGAGAAAGAAGGGGAGTAAATACTCAAGATCAGCAGTTAAGTGCTGCCGCTGACTTCAGTGTGGGGAACATGGCAGGAGCTTCACAGAAGTGCCAAGAGGTCAGAGGACCATCAGTGGTGGCAGAAGTCAGATAACATCAGCCAGGTTTTCTCCCCAGAAGGAAAAGGTCCCACCTAAAATGAGAACTACTGAAAGGAGGTCCAAAACTTGACAATAGAGCAGTGAGAAGACTGGAACCAAAAGTGAAGCTTTAATAACATACTGGAGGATGTATGACATCTTTTAGGATGTCTCTCCAAAAGACAGACAACTCGGAAGACAGCAAATAGAACTAAAGAGAAGGATCAAACAAGAAAGAAGAAATGTGAAAACAAAAAAAGGTGCTTGAAATAAAGATAATTAATGCCTTTCGCTGGCTAACAGAAAAGGAGGCTCCTTAATTGAGAATCACCACCCTCCAATGGATTCCACACTAGCTGGCCCAAATATGATGAAGAAATGTAAAACTGCAACGTCCACTGAAATTTCGAAGAAGAAAACACAGAGAATGAAGATTAAAACATTTCAGGCTAATTGAAAATTTCTGCAAAGCAGGGGAAAACTATCCCATAACATTACAGCATGAATAAAAAGCAACAAAAAATAAAAAAGAATGCTATGGCACAAACAAAAAAACAACTCAAGAAAAGATGAACAAACAATAGGAAGATATGAAATAGAAACTTGCATAACACAGGAAAGAAACTGGGAAAAAAAAAAAGAACAGACAGAAATCACTGAAGACTTTGCATTAAATCACAAAGAACAGATTTGTCCAAAAGCACAGCAAGCAATGAGACAAGCACAAAGTGAAAAAGTAAACAGATAAAAGGGACCAGACAGAAAGTGACAGATATGGAAGCCAATGAAAGAAGAGTCAACAAACATACGTTAGAGGAGTCCCTGAAAAAGAAAAACAAAATAATGAAATAGAACTAATCTCTAAAATGACTCAAGAAAATGTCCCTGAAATAATAGAATACCTAAATGTCCAGTGAGAGAGATACTACATAGACATCTACCCAGACTGCCAACACCCAATCTGAGATACATCATCATTCTAGTATTAAACTATAAAGATAAGGTTATTTGGCTCTCCAGGCAAAAAGACCAAGCCACTTAAAAGGAAAGAAAATCAGGTTATCATCCTTTTGCCAACAAGAATGAACATGCGCCCACACAGTTATGACACCAGTTCAACAATTTCTACCAGTTAACCAGGAAAAAAGGGTGCATGGAGGGTTAAATAGTGTTGTACCACAAAATGCAAGTCTACCCAAAATCACTGCAATGTGACCTCATTTGGAAATAGGGTCTTTGCAGAAGTAATTAAAGTTGAGGTCATACTGGATTAGGGTGGGCCCTAAATTCACTGACTGGTGTTCTTCCAAGAGGAGACACAAATACGAAGAAATGTGAAGATGGAGGCATGGATTGGAGTGATGTGTCTATAAACCAAGGAACTCCAAGGATTCCCTAGAGCCACCAGAAGTTAGAAGAGGAAAGATTCTTTCCTTGAGCTTTCAGTGGAAGCATAACACTGCTGACAACTTGATATCAGACTTCTGGCCTCCAGAACTTCAAGACAATAAGTTTCTGTTGTTTTTAAGCTATGGTCATTTGTTAAGGCAGCCCTAGAAAATAAATACAGGATGAACCAAAGATTTTATAACTCGCCAAGAGGTCTTTCAAGTATCACAGCAGAAGAAAGATTTTACCATGTAAAAACTCAGGTAACACCATATTCATGAGCTAGTTCTCCTGAAGAAATCTATTAGAGAACAAGCTTTATCCAACCAAGAGATGACTGAGAACTCTCAGCAAAAGCACTGTTGGTTACCACTGAGTAAATTTAACTGTGTATTTAAGAGGAAACCAAAGATATGAACAAAGGTGGGAGAATAAAGGTGTGTAAATATTATCTCAGGGGCCGGCCGAGTGGCTCAGTTGGTTAAGAGCTCGCTCAAGAG